CCCTTGCGCCGCTCCCGGCCCCTCGCAGGCGGCTACTTCCTGCCGTGGCTGGCCTACACAGGAATCTCAACCGCCTATGCGGCTCTCGCCGGTAAGTTCCCACGGGCTGCGGGGCCCCTCGGCAGGCAGGCCTCCAGTTTATGCCCGCCTGCCTCACTGGAAGTACTTGCACAGCTCTTGGTGTCTCCTGCAGCAGAGAAGACACACGATGGCATATGCAACACACATGATGCATGCGCGCGCGCACACACGTACACACATGTATGCACCCGCCTACTCTCGTGCACGCACACACACACATGCATGCCCACGCATGCGCCTCCCCCCGCTGCCACTGCAGGCCTCCTCATCTCGCGCCTGTCCCCGATGGCTGCCGGCAGCGGCATTCCCGCCATGCGCTCGTGGATAAACGGCGTCGACGTACCGCGCTGCGTCGCGCCCTCCACCCTGGCCGTCAAGGCCGTCGGCGTCGCCCTGGCCATTGCGGCCGGCCTGGTGGCGGGCAAGGAGGGGCCATACATCCAGGTGCGGCGGCCGGCCGCGAGGGGGACCGCGTCCTGGGGGTCTTGCGAGCGGTCACGAGGCCCCTGCAGGCGCTGCGCTCCTCTCAATTGGCAGCACGGCCGCCATTGTTTCGCCTCACCTCATGCTGTTCTGCCACTCGGTTCAGCTCGGTCCAGACCAAATAACTTGATCCCTGGGCCCCTCGACCTTGCGGTTGCCGTCTGTCCCGATCCTCACAGTGCGGTGGCATTATCAGTTACCTCGTCGGATGCAGTGCAGACGCCTGCATACGCAGGTGATTTGCGCCTTTCAATTCGCTCCTGGGCTTCTGCAATGTCAGCAGCACCGGCGGTCGCATGCACCGGGGCCGCCGCCACGCATGCAGCTTAGGGGTTTGCGTTGCATCCGGTTCGGCGTGTTACGCAATGGTTTGTTCCGCGTCCCTCTCAACGCCTGCACAGGTGGGCCGTCCGACGCTTCCGGCACGAGAAAACCAAACCCGGCAAGCCGGCCCCCGTGCGTGGCCCCCGCCGCTGGCTGCGCGGCTGGCTGCGCGCCGCGCTGCGGGCGCTGGCAGTGGTGGAGCCCCGGGAGGCAAGCGACTACGCGTCTGTGGGGACGTCGGGCGGCGTGGCCGTGGCGTTCAACGCGCCTGTGGCGGGCATGGCCTATGCGGCGGAGGAGGGCAACACTGTGTATTCGGTTGCCATGCTTTGGAAGGTTGGGGGGACGTGCATCCGGGCGATCGCAATTGCAAAAATGGCGCGGCATGTGTGATGGCACACAGTGCACTGATAAGTGCAGTTGAAGCTGCCTTACTGGCTGCTGGGAGTCGCCCGCAGCACGTGGCTCTACGTGACTGCATGTGGCTGTTGTCTGTGGCTGTGGCGCGTGTGGGTGGACTTGTGTGGCTATGCGTACGTGGCTGTGCGTATGTGGCTGTGCGAATAAGGCTGTGCACATGTGGCTGTATGTCACAGCAGAGAAGGCTGCTTGATCACAGTCATCATTTACGCCGAGGCCATCGCAGGCCATACGTTGCACACCCATCCTTGGACGCGCCTCCCCCTCATCCATCCGCCCTCGCGCAGGCCGTGTTTGCCGCGGGCGCGGCCATCTGGATGATGCAGCTGCTGGGGGTGGCGGCGCAGGGCCAGAGCCTGCTGGTGGACTCCCAGATCACGCTGCTGAACAACCTTTCCTTCCGGGGCCCCTCTGAAGTCTCCAGCATCTTCTGGTGAGAGGGAGGGGGGTCGCAACCACGGCGCAACACAACCAGACCACAACTTCGAAACCTGGGGTTGCAGCAAGCAAAGCACTCCGCAGTGCTCGTCAGCAGCGGCAGTCCCTCTCGCCTGCAGTCGGCGCCAACTGGACCGACCGCCGGCGAGGCCGGCGGACGGCGGTGGGACGGCGCGCTGCACGGTTGCGCCTGCTGCTCGCATGCAGGCATGCGTGTGACTCAACCTCATGCTGAGCGCGGCCAAGGTCCCTCTCTCCCCCCCTGGGCCGCGGCTCCCAATTTCAGGTACCACTCCTGGGAGGTGTGCGGGTCGCTGCCGCAGCCCTGGTGCCACTGCGACCCTGACGCCGCCATACGCCGGCGTTTCCGGCGCACACGGCACGCATCCTGCGTGTCCCCGGCTTCCTGTGTGTTTGATGCCGCACATACCTCTTACAACTCCCAAAAGGGATGTCCGGCCTCACGCCCAGCTGCCTTTTCCTTTGCGCACTTGACACTTTGGCGCCACCTGGTCCTTGGCCACTGTCACACACCGCCCCCTGGCCGCTGCGGCCCGCAGGTCCCGCTCATGGCCCTGCTGGGCGGCGCCATCGGCCTGCTGGGCGCCCTCTGGACTTCCGCTTGCATCGCAATCCTCAAGTGGCGGGCGTCCTGGATCCCCGAGAGCCGGCCTGGCCTGAGGAATCTGGAGGTGGCCGTGTGCGCGGCGGTCACCGCAACGGTGGGCCCCGTGACCGACCGGCGTTCGCTCTTGTCGGCAGCGGCGCGTGGGGGGCGGGGCATGCGCGGAGGGGCCACGCTTGCGACAGGGCCGGGACGGCTCACGCGTGCGTGGCGCTCTGGCAGAGCAGGTGGTGGCTGGGCGACCGATGGAGGGTGGCCTTTGACCCTGCCCGACACGCCCATTCGCCACCCACCTACTGCCCACGTCACCGTCGGCCCCGCCAAACTCGCCTCCGGCCGCATTATCCACGACTGCCGCCGCACCCAGGTGTGGTTCACGGTCTGCTACGCCTCCCCCTGCATCCCCATCCCCCCGTCCGCCGCCGCCGTGACGGCCGCCAACGGCCACCACTTCACCCGTGACTACTTCAACGGCCCCGGCAGCCTCTGGCCGCGGCTCTGGTGCAGGGAGCCAGGCACGTACGCGTCGTGGGCGCAGCTGTTTGCGATGCCCATCGAGGGCGCAGGTGAAGCCCGCACATGATTCACACGGGTGGCACACATGTCGTGGGTGGGGTTGCGTCAGAGGTGTGGCGGCGCGCGCGCGACACGCTGCACGCATCGGCCACGCGGCTTGCATGAGCCCATGTGCATGGCGCCCGCAGTGCTGCTGTGTATGCTCGGCCCACACCACGTCGCCAGGCGGCCCACTACCCAACAATCCGTCAGTCATCACAAGCCTCTGCACCCCCCCCCCGTTATGATGCGGAGATCGGGGCCCCAATCTCGCCTCTGCCACCATCCCCCACCCTTGCCCATCCGCCGCGCAGTGCGCGCGCTGATGAGCGTCCAGCCCGCGGCCGCGGTCGCGGGGGACGGCGGCGGCCTGGCAGTGGTGCCCAGTGAGAACTTTGTGTTCACATACTCGACCCTGGGGCTGTTCGTGGCCTGCGCGTTCACAGGCCTCCTGCTGACCTACGGCATCGCAGCGCCAACAGGTGCGTCTCGGGCGGCGTACGCTGACTGAGTGCCTGCCTGCCTGCCTGCCTGCCTGCCTGCCTGCCTGCCTGCCTGCCTGCCTGAGTGTCTGGCAGACTGGTGCTGTGGAGGGGCGGCTGCGGGGCTCGCACGTTTGCGCCAGCAGCCGCACGCCCACAGGACGCCTTGGCTGCGTCCACGCGCGAGCATGGTACAAGCACGGATCGCCCCTCAATAGACTCCGTTTGCATGCGCCGCTCGCTCCCCCACCCACGCTTGCTTAAATGTTACCCTTCGCCCACTTCACTGCCCAATTTGAGCCAGGCATATTCATCCCCACCATGGCGATCGGCGCAGCTGTCGGGCGGCTCGCGGGTCACGGCGTCCAGGCGGTCCTCCTCGCTGCTGGCCTGCAGCTACAAGTGAGAATGCTTGCACATGTGCGTGCATGTGTGTGTGCGTGCGGATATTTGTGTGTGCGTGTGTGCGCGCGTGTGTTTGTGTGTTTGTGTTTGTGTGTGTGTGTGTATGTGTGTGTGTGTGTGTATTTGTGATGGTTGGCATTCAATATTTCAATGCAGTGGGCACGTTAGCTTGAAAGGTGCCGTGCAAACTGCTGCAGGGGTGTCTGCATGCTTTGGCTCCTGCTTTGCTGCTCAGTGCTCGGCGCCGGAAGCGTGCCAACTGAGCCCATACTGCCGATCAGCAATCACTCCCGCGCTACGCACATTTGCTCTGTGCTGGCCCTCCTCTCCCCTCAACTCGCCCACTTGCACACACGCGAGCATGCAGGTGTCGCTGCCAACCTGGGCGGCGGTTGGAGCGGCGGGGTTGCTGGCGGGCAACACGCGCCTTCTGCTCTCGGTAGGAGGGGATATTACAGCACCAGCAGCAGCTGCGCGCGACGCTTAACAATTCACCCCCCTTTCCTCTTGTCTCTTAGACCATCTTTTGGCCTTTTGCTGTTCCTGATACCTGCGAGCGGGCGCCACCAGCGTGACTGTGCCGCCAGATCCAGCCTGCCTTCGTCAACGGTGATACGTGCATGGAATGTTTTCAAAAATACGCGCTGCACCTCACCCAATCGCCCGCGGCTGCCGCTTGCTCAAACATCCGCAGACTGTGCTCATCGTAACGGAGACCACCGGCAGCGCCCCAGCCCTGGTGCCCATCATTCTGGCCACAGTGGTCAGCAAGCTCGTGGCGGACGCCCTCACCAAGTGATCACTCATGCCATATGCGATGCGCCCAGCGCCCGCCTTGCGCTTGCCCTGAACCCTGCTCTGCTGCGCCGCACGAAAGCCGCCGTCATCGGGCCAACGCTGGGCGGGGCCGTCGCAGCGACGTTGCAGCCACGCCTTCACTGCTCTCAGCCACGCATCGGTTCAGTGCAATCACCTCCATGTATGCACGGCAGCATTCATGATCTCATATAGGCTGCTGCCCACCCGCACCCCACTTTTGAAGGTGTGTGTACGACTTCCAGGTGCAGCAGGCCCACCTGCCAGTCCTGGAGGACAAGGCGCTCATACCACCCAGGGAGCTGGTGGAGCTGCTGCGGTCCAAGGTGGAGGGGGGGGGCCCTGGGGGAGCCTGGCGGTCCAATGGAAGCCTTTGGGGCGGCTCGGCCGCCTGCCCCAGGTGTTCCTTTGGGCTGCAAGGAGGGCACACACACCACGCACGGTTGGTCAACGCAGCTAGCAGTGAATTTTGTATCAGCTCTCCCCAGCTGCCTCGCAAGCCAATTTGCAGAGGCTCTTGACACCCATTGTGTCGCGTCCGCCGCACTCTTACGCCACGGCAGATGGGAGACGCCATGCAGCCGCTGGCAGCGCTGCCGCCGCGGCCGAGGTTGGGGCAGCTGCTCGACTTCCTCGGCCGCCACCAGGACGGCCTCATCCCCGTTGTAGTGCCGCCGTCCTCGTCACCACGCAAGGAGGATGACGGCAGCAGCAGTCTAGGCGGCAGCCTCAGCAACGGCCGATCAGGAGCAGCAGTCAAGCCGGCGCAGACCCAGGAGCGGGGTGGAGTGGCCAGGGAATACAAGGGGTTTGCAGCGTCAGGAGCGGCAGGATTGCAGGACGAGGAGGAGTCCGGGGAGGTGCTGGTGACGGCGGAGGGCGGCGCCGAGCTGCTGGGGGTGGTGTACCGCTGGCAGCTGCTGTCGTGCCTGCAGCACCCCGCGCTGCTGCGTCTCTTGCTGACGCCGCCGGCAGGTGGCAAGGGTAGCCCAGGAGGCAGCGTGGCCGACGGCAGCGGCGGAAGAGGCAACGCACCAGACGGCATGGTGGCAGCAGAAGACGATGTCAGCAGCGGAGCCGGCAGAGGCAGTGGCACCGACTCCGCCGCTGCCGTCGCGCTCGAGGTTGCGCCCGCGTCGGCGCTCGAGACGCTCGGGCACGCGACGCGGGCCGCGCTGCTCAGTCTGCTGGCGCAGGGGCCGCCCAACCTGACGCGGGAGTCTGCAGAGGCGCAGGAGCGCGCGGTTCTTGACCGCTTCCTGGGCGCTGCACTGCAGCCAGTAGCACGCAGTGGCAGCCCCATTGAACAGGCACACGGGGTGCAGGAGCAAGGGTTTGACCGAGAGGAGGGCCTGGTGCGCAGGGGTTGGCATGAGCGCCTTGTGCGAGGGCGCCGCGGGGCGAGGGCGGTGCAAGAGAACGGCCAGCCTGATTGCAGCCGAGCAGCGCAGCAGCAGCAGCAGCAGCAGCAGCAGCAGCAGCAGCAGCAGCAGCAGCAGCAGCAGCAGCAGGATGAGGAGAATATGCAGCAGCAACAACAGCAGCATGAGGAGGCAGAGCAACAGCAGCAGGGGCAGCAGCAAAAGCGGGAGAAAGAGCAGAAGCAGCTGCAAGAACAACAGGATCACAAGGAGGAGGAGAAGAAGGAGGATCAGCAGCATCCTTTGCAACCTGCAAGATCGGCCTCGCCAGCGGCGGCCGCCACCGCTGCCTCCGCTGCAGCGCAAGCCGCTGAGGTGGTGGAGTCTGCACGGGCCCTGCTGGCGCAGCGGCTAGACCTGTCACTGCTATTCCAGGATTGCCCCTTCGAGCTGCCGCCCTCGGCGCCGCTGGAGCACGCTCACGAGCTTATGCGGAGCATAGGCGTGCACGGAGTGCTCGTTACGCAGCGGCGGGGGACGCGGCTGGCAGGCGTGGTGACACGGCGGGAGCTGCTGATGTGCAGCGAGGGCAAGAAGGACGGGTGTGACTAACATGCCGGCGCATAAGGAATGTCAAGCTGGTGGGGGGGGGGGGCGCGAGAGCCAATGCCAGCGACAGGGCGCGCAGGGGATGATGGGGGGCACAATCATCAAAATAGGTTGTGTGGAGCGCTTAGTTGCGTTGGGCAGGGCCTGCAGGGCCAAACCACTGGCTGTCGAGTATTTTGTAAACCCCATTGATGAAAAAGTGCCACTTGCAAATCCACCATTATGTTGTTGGGATTGCTGCCTTGGAACATGGAGAGCGCAACACCAAGCAAACTGTGACAATGCACTTCACGGGTGTTTGTTCGAGCGTCATGACCCCTTCTTAGTGTGCCTATGACATAACCTTGTGAAACACCTGTGCATATCCCTTGTAATTTGACTCCATGTTCAGCACATTTGGACACCGCAACAGCTTCCGCCGACTGGGGGTGATGGGGCCAGAATGACAAAGTGCTGGCGGTGGGACGCATGGGGGCAGGCGAAGGGTGGAAACAGGCTTCGATCCAATGTGGCTTGCAGGGTCTGAGAGGGCTTCGGCGGCCTGGACCGTGCGCGTGAGGTGTGCGCCTTGGGGGGAGGGGACTTGACGGTAATTGATGGGCAGGTGGCTGGGCCTGGCGATGGTGCGGAGGGCGCGGCAGGAGGGGGATCAAGATCAGGTGGATTTACTGATGGATGGTAGCACGGAATGTCCCCCGATCGTACACCTTTACTGGTGATAAACAATAACTGTTAATGGATTACGTCAGTGCAAGATGTGCCGCTCGGTTGCTCAGCACTGGGTGCGATCCCACGAGCCAAGTGTTCAGCCCGCGAGGCGCCTGCTTGGTGTACGCATGGCCGTGGCGTGCGCGGTCAACATCATGGTCAAAACTGCGGGCAGCTCCGTCTCATGAGGACCTGCATAAATCGATTCTCGCTGATAAAGTTCTCGTTATTCACAGCTTTGAGCGCCTGGACTGGTCCTTGCAATCGTAACAGCGTGCGTGCACGCAGGTCGCTTGCTGGGTCGCTCCCTGGGGTCAAATAGCGCGCATCCACACAAGCATTTACCGTATGTTTTGATTGTAGCCGATGAAAGGTAACAATGATTAACATTGATACCTTGTACTTCTCCTCTTTCCTTCACTTTCGTTCGCCTTGCTGTTTTCAAGGGCTTGACGCAGGGAGGCCGGGGCATGCAAAGGACGTGTATGTACATGATGGGGTATAAACTGCACTGCATGCATGTGTGGGCCCCTGCACCTGCGCCGCGCTGCCTTGCACCCCTCTCGCAGGCGCTCTGCTGCATCTCCAGGTCGTGCGCCCGCTGCTCGGCTTGGGGGTGCGCTCCCAGCCCCAGCGGTGCGCATCAGCGGTGACCTGGCAGCCCGGATTCGGGGGCCCCGTATGGGGTGGCCCCAAGCGGGAGGCTTTGCTTACAGGAGCACCCCTTCGGGGGGAAGCACCTGGGCAAGTCTCCAGTGGCATCACCCATGGTGGTGGCCACACGCTACCTTGGCCAGCGCCAGGGGGTTGGGCTGTGCCGCACACAACGTCATTCATGTCGTTGTGTGCAGGCCGCGCTGATTTTGGGGCCCGAGCAGCACACCTCCACGCGGTGGGCCCTGGCTCTGGCTGCGGACTCACGTCCCGGCTACCAGGATGCTGCAACTTAGCAGGGGACAACCCACGTTCGCATGTTTCGGCTTGCTTCACGCCCTGCACCTTGTAATGTAACGTTTCTAATTGTTCGGCTGCCAAGCGGTGCGTTTGATCCTTATGCTAGGGTGTTCAACTGGTTGTCGAAACAGCACCAAAGCGGGCAATTTGTTACGCAGCCGAGGCAGACCGCTCCTTTTGCATAACTTGCTGGGGGCCCACAACGAATCAGCAAGGCTTGAGTGTGGCCTGCTAAGCTGTGAGTTGGAGGTGCTTCATGGCTGCTGCGGCTCTGGGAAGGAAAGTTGAAGCTGCTCCCGGCGTATGTCTGGCGAGGGGAACCAACGAATTGAGCGTTCCTGCAAGCGGTGTCATATGCGACAGTCACCAGATTAGAAGCAATCAAAGGGTGCCGGTGACATAAAAAGCACTTTCATACACAATTCAAAGGGGCGGAGGTGCCTCCTCTCATGACTCAGCTCACGTGACAGTGTAGTCAAGCATAACACAGCAGACATAACGCATGGCACATGCACAATGGTATTACTTGTGTCTCTATAATCAGATGATAATGCAGGTCTGAATGGTTCGCATCAGGCTGCATGCTTGTTGACCTTGGGGGCCTGAGGCCCAGGGTGTTGACTCGGCGGCGAGGGCAGGGATGCGGCTACAGGATGAGCCATGACGCTCGCAGCAGTGACCGCAATCGAGGATGTATGTTGTGGATTACTATATGTAACCTATTGCGCTTCAAATGTACATGCTGACGTCCCATGCCGCGCCAGCCCTGATCAGCCGACGTGACATCAGCGTCATCGCAATGTCATATTGATGTATTTTCATTAGCTTTGAATACGAAGGGTCGGGTCGCAGGGACACGCCAACGATCTGCAGCACCAAACCGTCAACTCGGTAATATGAAGCAGCTAGGCGCGCAGCTGCTATCCAAGGCGGCGAACTTAGTGGTAAGCAATCATTGAGGACTCGCATCCAGGCACCATGCAGGCGAAGGGTGCGGCGAAACCTGAAGCGGTACCAGCTGCTGCGCGCTGCGCTCATGGCGCCCAACCCGACGCACCTGCTGCTTCCGCCTTCCTTGGCACCTGGGCTTCGTTGTGACGTGACGCGCAGCAGCAGGCCAAGGGCGATGCACCTGCGCAGCAGCAGGGCGGCGGGATACCTGCAGGTGCGCCAAGCAGGACTCATGCCAGCCCAGCAGCGTGCCGCACGCGCGGCATTCGCCTGCACCACAGGCGGCAGCCCCACTCCCAGCCCTGCGGCCCCAGCCACAATGACTTGCGGACGCAGCGACCGCTCCCCACTCACCCGGATGCCTCGTCGCTCCCCTGCCCCCATACATCCCACCATCACGCGCCCAAACAGCCCGCGCCGGCCCCGGTCAGCAGGCCAAGCAGCAGCCGGACCCAGTTTTGGAGCAGCTTCTCCGCAGCGTGCGCTCCAAGCATGTGCGCCGTCAGTTCTTCGTGCACGCCGCCTCTGAATACACAGAGACGCGCGACGTGCGTCTGCTGGCGGGGACGTACAATGTAGCGGGCAAGCGGCCGCCGCCGGGCACGAAGCTCCACGAATGGGTCGGCCAGTGGAGGGACAGCTGGCCAAAGGTGCGGGGCATGGGCATGCGCCCGCCTGCTGACCTGGCAGCTGCAGCGGCCGCGGCTCTGCTGCTTGCTGCAGGTTTTGGCGGAAGCGAGCGCCCTCTGGCGCGGGCGAAGAGAGGTCTTGCTTTCACCATCGCCGGCCGCGTGCACACACACGCAGGTCACGGACGGTGGGGCGCGCGCGGGTGCCGGCCCCGACATAATCGCTGTCGGCTTCCAGGAGGTGGTCCCTCTGAACGCGGGCAACGCGCTGCTGGGGCCCACCAGCGAGGGCGCAGACGCCTGGGACCTAGCGCTGGCCGCAACACTCAACGGCGAGGAGTGGTGAGGACGGCGGCGGCGGAGATCTCCTTGCGGAGCCCAGGGCCGCTGCGCGGCGGGTGCGACGGAGGGGCGGTTTGGAGTGACGATGTGGTGGCTTGCTGCGGTGCAGGGAGCGGCGTCGCTCGTATGTCGGCTGAGCGGCGGTGCGCGCTCGTCCTCGCGCACTGCAGGGCGGCTCGCAACTATGGGCGCACCTACGGCAGCAGCCTGGCAAACCCCTATAATAGCATGGAGCGGCTGGGGTCGCAGGTGAGCCCGTGCTGGCGTGCGCTGCAGCTACGCTCCACCCGTGTGCCGCAGAGGCCCGCCCCTGCCAATCCAACGTGTCCACGGGCAGCTCCTGTGTGTCCTCCCTCCGGCGCCTGCACCTTTGCGCGGGCTCCGACTCACACGCCTTCACGTTGGCAGCTGCAGGCCCATCACACCATTATTTTCCGCCTTGCGGAGGCACACAAATTTCCAAACATGTCGTCATCGTTTGGCCCCCCGCCAGGCCGCGTACGCCTACAGCGTGATCAGCAACCAGGCGGCCACCGCCATCGTGACGGCCATGGACAAGCTCTGGGTGGGCGCGGACGGCACCGCCACGCCGGCGCACCGCGGCTCTGTCGGCGGCGTGGGCGGGGGCGGGACGCCCCAGCACAGCGGCGGCGTCGCGGCGGGGCTGGATGTGGCGGCGGAGCAGCAGCAGCAGCAGGCGCGGCTGCACGCGGCGCTGGAGTCGGGGGACTCTGAGGACGTGTTTGTGCAGGCGAGTGGCAGAATTGCGCGTTTTTATTGCAAGCTTGGTGGTGGAGTGTTACACCTGCAGCAACCCTGGCAAAACAGCAAGTTTCTGGACTATTTGTTGACTGCTGTTTTGTTACGTTGTTGGTTTGCTTGCTTGCTTGCTTGTTGGGCGATTTGGTGGGCTTGTTTCTGGGCGACCATTGCCACAAGGAGCTCAGGGGTTGGCCTCTCAAGGCTACGCAGCAGTGGAGCCGGGCTGCTGTGCAAGCGCTGGCGGCCGAAACGCCCCCCTGAAATGCCGCTGCCCAGGCAGGCTCTGGCATGACCCAGCTGATGGCTGATAGATGATGAGTAGCCTCCAGACCCTACGCCCCGCACTCCCCCACGCCGCAGCGCACTGCACCGCATGACGTCACCATTGAATCACGCCGCACGCCCTCACGCCGCTCACCGTGAAACGCCCTCCCGGGTCCCCACCCAAACCAGGTGGCCGCGAAGCAGATGGTGGGGCTCTACCTGTCGGTGTGGGTGCGCAAGCGCCTCGCGCGCCACGTGCGCGGCGTGCAGACGACCAGCGCGGCGACGGGCTGGGGGGGATACGTCGGAAACAAGGGTGAGCAGGGGGAGTTTACTGGGGGAGTGGGCGTGAGCGTGCTGCTCCACTTGCATATTCCTTTTTTACGGGACAGCACCAGTTGGGCCCCGTCCTTGTGCAAAGCGGCGGCGGCGAAAGTTCGCGCGAGCGTGACAAAGCATCCCAGCTCTGATGGTCAGAATGCGTCGTCCCAGCTTTGCTGCTGAAACCGGCGCTCGAACACAGGCGCCTGCGCTCGCACAACCCCGTGACGCCCGCCGCGCCGCGCCGCGCCTTGCACCCGCAGGCGCCGTGGCGGCGCGCTTCCGCGTGCACGACGCCCCCGTGTGCGTCGTCTGCAGCCACCTGGCGTCGGGCGACCAGGAGGGCGACGAGCTGCGGCGCAACGCGGACGCGGCGGAGATACTGCGGCGCTGCGTGTTCCCCACAGACGCGCAGGCGGCGGCCCTGGGGGTGACGGGTGGGTGGAGGGGGCGGTTGGGGCCCTGCGGGGCCGGCGGGACGGGCGGGG